AGAGACCTGTCGAATTTCTGCCATGTGGCTTGTTGGCGCAGTGTCTAAGTGGTCTGCTTCTAACACCGAAGGTATGGAGTTCGATTCCGCTTGAGGGAAATCTTTGTCTTGTTCACGAATTTCCTTAAGCAAGCACTTTACCATACATTGCTTCATACCGGGCTTGCCCAGTCGGTAGGGCGTCGAACTCAGAACCAAGGGTCCCGAGCTCCTTTCTGAATCTCTCGCCCTTCTTTCCCAGGTTGATAAATGAGTACAATTGTGTGGGAAGAAAACAGGAGGCTACACGCTGCGCTTGCCACAAGGCTTATGAGACTGCCTTTAACATAAGATACTCCTGAATGAGGCATAGAAAAGGAGGTCCGCCTCGCATCATCAATTTCATGAAAAAAAGGGCGCCTAAAGGGCCAATTGTAAAAGTGAAGTAAGACCGACATTCCAGCGGTGAAAAACTTTCCATTCTTTCCAGAGTTATTTTTTTAATGGAGAATAATCGCTATAAATCAGTTCAATATTCAGTGAAACTTCTGCCTAACGAACAGTTTCTTTCGCCATTTAGCTTCCCTGGTCCGTGCTGGTTACCATTTATGTACTCTACAGTTTGGACCTCAGCGTAACGAAAGGACTTCATTTGTTTTCATTTTCTGTTCTTGTTTAGAGTCTTCGAGCTGGAGTAACACCTTAAGGATTTTTCTGGTCTTTCTGTCCTCCGTCAACCGGACATAGACCTCAGATTACAAGTACTAAAGCTTTAGTATTCCATAACCAGCTGGTAATAGGTTTGATTTGGTTTCTGCATGTCATGTTGCTGTGCAAAGAAAACCCGACATGTTCCTACACCTGCATATTGACCCCGTGTCCAAGCCGTCGCAACTGTGATTCCACCATTTGAAAAAGCTGTGGCCCACAGACAAAGGTATCTCCGTTTGCCCTGCTAGAGATTTGCTAGGCTTCGCAAGAATGTCATTTCTCTCGCTTGTTTCTGTGATCGCTCTCTTTCAGCTAGTATCCACGTGAATGATCTCAGGCAATGACCTCCGTGTAGAGAAAATTGAAGGAAGGTGGTCAGCCTCAAATTACTGCCTAGCTCTTTCTTTATCACCTTAGGCTGGATTAGCTCGCGCATTACTGCGTTCGTTCGACCGATTTATCTGTTTATCTCTTTCCATATCCTGTGAGAATGTTGTTGCTGCAACCCACTGTTATATAAGGCTAACAGAGCTTGAAGCAGAGTAGCGCAGATCCAGATTTATGGTGTAGCTACTTACTGACACGAACGAATTGACTCATGAATACTACCTTAAGATAACTGAACTTAATCTACCTTACTTTCAGTCCGGTAAGCTACAAAGCACAATGAAATGCGTTGCTCGACAGTACAAAAAATGGAAACGGAAATTTGGTAACCGTTTGGATGTTAATCTTCCTTCCGTGACTGCACCATTTGCGGCACCTTTCTTTCATTGAGCTGATGGTGCGGCGCTATTTTAAATTCTGTCGTTATCCAAGAACGTTTTGCTGCTTTTAGCTGCAAGGCTATGTCTATAACTGTGTGATTGCTATGGCATATACACTCTTTGTTCCTTATCAGAAAGTGGTGCCTTTTATCCACCTCGGAAGAATGGAGGGCAGTTATCTGACTTTGACTTGAACCCACGATCTCTCGACTGCTAGTCCGATGTTCTACCGATTAACTAACGTGGTTGAGCATAAAGGCCTTAGTTTCGATTGGCAATCAGGCTGATCCTTATCGAGCTCTGAGGATGGCGAAGATATCAGGTTGGGAATCAGTATTGGAGGAAGCGAACATGACTGTGTCATTTGTTCAATGTAGGCTACTCAGTCGAACATACGGGACTGTGACGTTCTCTTAAATTTGCTGTGACTGCTCTTCCAGGCTGTAAAATTTATGAACCGCAGAGGAGGCAGCAGAACCCTAGGCATCCTTGATGGAGTTCATAACGTACTTTGAAAAACGCCGACTTTCGATCATTGACAAGGCCACTGATCAGTTTTATAAAGAGTTGATGGTTGCAGTAACTGGTCATATACTGTATTTTTTTGCAGCACTATTTGACACGTTCGATT